AGTACAGCTTTCAATACTGGAATAAAAATACTGCAATCTCCAGTACAGCTCTCGATACTGGAATATACTGTACTGGCAGCACGGCTCTCGGTACTGTACTGTACTGGACGTTTTAGTACGCAGTTAAATACTGGAATAAAAATACTGTACTGTACTAAACCTGCCCGTGAAACATTTGTTCTTGTTCGTATTTCAACACCAATTGGCCCTGTTGGCGTACGTTGTATGACCACGTACTTTGTTGGCGGTTGTCAACTGCACTCGGCGGAGTGTTTAAAGTGGTAAGCATGAGGAACAATGCTGTTGTTTGGTACAAGAACACACCAAGGCATGCAGCAGCAACTGTCAACCGTCTTGGTCCACAAGGGTGACGTTGGTCCTGCGTACCCTCCCCGATCTACTAACGCTCTCAAGCAAAACCCAGGAGCCTACCGCCGCATCCAGATCTCCGGTCTACTTGTCTAAGGGCAGCTTCATCTTGCGCGTACTCTGGTCTAGCTCCAGCTGCACAGAGTAGTCGTACTGGTGGCGAGTGTCCTGCTGAGATTGCTGAATGATCAACCCTCCAAACCACCCCATCCACAGCCTAACGAACACTCCACGTCGCAAAAGCAATCTGTCAAGAGCAACGGGTTTAACTTCTTGAATGCGAACGCCTGTCGGGATCTCCATTCCTTGTGTCTCGTCCTCCGGGTCTTGTGGGTCCATGCTGTCGTCGTCGTCGAGAAGAGCTAGCTCATCGGTCTGGGTTTGAGACGTGCCTGCGAACGGGGCACCGTGCAACACAAGAAGTACGGTGTCACGGCCGAAACTCAACATGAACCCATCTTTGCTCGTAGTCGTGAACGCGGAAACAGCACATCAGCAAAATCCAAGCAAATATCAACATGGACATCGTCCTCAACAAGGAAATGACAAAGATTAGGTCTAGTGCAAATCAAGCTTATCGCCGTCGTCTTCATCATCGCTGGAATCAGCGCCCTCCACGACCGGCTCACGTCCATCGCCCTCCTTCCCCCGCCCCTCAGGCTCATCGCTGCCGTTCTCCAAACCTTCTTCGTCCTCACTACAGTCTTCATCGTTTGCGAAGGTGTACGGCTTGTCCAAACCCTCCAAGGTGATCCGATCGTCGCCTGAGCCGTCCACAGTCATGGCCATCCCGCACTTTTCGAAAAGGCGGAATCGGAACGCCTGTTGGCTGTTGAGTCTTGCCATGGCCGCTCCGATCCACTGAGTGATCAATAAGTACCCGCCGATCAGAAGCTGTCAGCGCCGCGGTTTCCCACTTCTCGAGGTTGTCCGACTGCTCGAGCCACATGTCCATCTGCCTCCCAGCTTCCACCTTGATAAATCGTCCAGCTCCTCCATCAACTGGCTGCACCTCGTCCGTGCACTTCCACCTAGAGAAATCGTCCGGCTCCTGCATCAACTGGCTGCACCTCGTCCGTGCACTCCGAAGGGCCATACCAGGCGAGATTGTTGCACTCCTTCGCAAGATACTCCTTGAACTCGTCCGTCGTCTGCGCGTGCAAGCTGTCCATGATAATAAGAAGGGACCTCGCCTTGGGAAGCTCACCCCGCCCGCGCATCAGCCCTTCGCGGTAGGACCTCTTAGCCCACTCCGTACAGAACTTTTGGTCGGCCCAAGCATTCTCCTGGAAAAACACGTCCACGTCCTTGTGGTACGCGGCCTTCTCCACCGGCGAGATCCGCTTCCCCGTGCCTCGGAAAATCACCGAAATTCGCAAGGTCTTCTCACCCGGACCAAGATGACTTGCATGGTGCACTGCCTTTTCTCTGGGCCAGGAAAGGGCTGTGAGATGGCGACACGCTTCGCACCTCGCTCCTCCCACGTATCGAGCAGCCCGTTCAAGAATGCCAAAGTCACTTGATCCACATTCCAACGCTCCCAGAGCTGGAATTGGCCATACTTGGGGAACTCTGGACTCCCTCTCTGCGACCGTCGTAATCGCCGATACGTCCGACTCATCGGGCGCCCTGTACCGCACCGGCTCTTGCAGGAGCTTGCGAAACATCGGTGGAAGCGCTGGATCTTTGGTAGGCGCTCCTCAACAGACTTGTTATTGAGGTTGGTCCGACGTCTTTTGGACAGGTTGTGCCTCTTAGCCCATTTTCGTGCCCACCTGAAGGATGCGCGGAACGTCGCCGCCCGTTGGTCCCCGGGATACATCTCTCGCACGAGCTTCCGGACCGTGATCGTCAGCCACAGGGTCGATACCTTCAGCTTCCTCTTTTCTGCCTCAGGAAACCACCGCTTAGGCTGCTGCTTGGCGAGGAGGCTCTTCTTCACGTCGTCTGCTGCCGCCGCGACTATGGCCTTCTCGTCCTTGGCCCACTTCACGATGTTGCTGTAGTGAACCTTGAGACGATCCTTTAAGTACGGAAGAGGCGTGCGCTCCTCCTCCTTCCAGAGGTCCGCGGCGTTGTCCTCGAGGATGCGCAGCTGGTTGACAGCATTATTGGCTTTGAACCTATAGTCGTATCGCCTGCGCTTGGGAGCTCCACGAGTTTCCTTGGTTTCGCGGTCCATGAAGCCGTCGCTTTCCAAGTAAGTCTGGATCGAGAAAGCGCTTCCGCTGGAGGACAAACGAAGCCGTCCCCGTCGCACGATCGAACTTCACGTGCCAACAACGCCCAGGCCCGGCTGCTTCCCACGGCAGGACACTCCCTCCGACATCCTTCAGTAACATGCGCCGCAGCCCCACGCCGTTGGACATGTGTGCACTGCTGTGCTGCGTTCTCACGTGGATCCCAAGGCCTTGCTCGTTCACGAAGGTCATCGGACAGTGAGGGCAGGATCGGCGGGACTCCGGGGCCGGAGGCGGGAAGCTGATACCGGATACGAACTCTTCCACTCCACCACGAGTCCGCTCAATCTGCTCGGTGCGATGGGAAAGGGCAGCATTGCCGTGTAGGGGATTCAATGAGCCATGTGACGTGTCAGTGGTTCTTATTATAGTTGCGGCGCTGGTGAATTCAAACTTCCGTGGATGCCGCTGGCAAAAGTATCTATGCACTCTGAACGAATACTTTCTTGAAAAGGTTATCGTGAATCACATGAGAGAGTGGGGGGATGACGTCTGTTTCGTTTGGGTCACATTAGACTAATAAACTTGCCTTTTTTTTCATTTTTTCTCTTGCTTAGACTATCGAGAATAACAAAAAAAAAGAACTGCAGCAAAACAAAGCAACAGCGTGCGTCGGATCATATGTAACCGAACTCACCGGTTGTCCGCTGCCAATCGAGCACGCGTTGCAGATATTGCCGCCTAAAGTGCCTTTCGCAGCTCTCTCCCTGGCGTGCTGCCCTCGCTCCACCTTCCTCCTCGCGGTACCAGCTGCAGCAGCAGGTGGGTGCTGAGAAGGTGCAGCAGCACCTCGTGCGCTGTAGGCATCTTGTTGGGATGACAAGGACAGGCGGGTGCGGCTGGTAATGTCCTGGATTTCACCATGAATCTCCGCGATCCACTCTCCTTCGTCGAAGATACCGTTCTGCTTCAACCCCCACGCGCTCTCGATGGCGTCACACCGCTGCTTCAAAACGTAGTTTCCCGCCTTCACACGTGTTTTTATCGTCTGTCTCGAAGTGACGGTCAAAAATCAGACCCCGTCCTTTCAACTCTGCAAGTTTGCCAAGATCTTTCAACAACCCATGGGATCTAAGGGATTGGACAGGGACATGATCCCCCCGTATGGCAGGCAACTCGTGGCCCGCTGCACGTGCGTGGCCTGGCAGCCGCCAAGAGGGCGCGACGTGTACAGTGCCCACCCTCTCCTCTGCAAAAATTGCCGATTCCGAGGTGTATGTATGCACCCACCTTCGACACACCTACCCCCCTGCCAAATCCAATACTTGGATCACCCCCCCGCCCGTCCCCCCCTCCCCGTTCGAACGTTCTTGTCCCGCAGCTGTTGAATGTGCTATTGTTCATATCTTTAGCAGCAGTGGTACACCTCAGGCGTGCGTTCTTATTCTTAACTGCAGATGCAATCTGAGCACGTGTTCTTACCGGCAAATTCTTTTTATTTTTTTCAGCACCATATTATTAAGTGCCAAGTGCGGGCCTCAACTGTGATGCACTTTGGGTGGCAACGCGGGGGGGGGGAGGGGCTCATCCGAAATCACCGAACCGTCTCAACAACGAATAAAACTACTACAAGAATGTGCCTCGTAGTTGAGCGCACGATAGATTGAAGAATATCGATCGGCACGAGCAAAGTACCCCCGGAGCTACACATAGCTATCTGTAAGAAGTAGCTGCACAAAAGGAGGGGGGGGG